AAGAGACAGCGGGGGAGGCGGGGTGCCGGGGGAAGGGGTGCATGGGGTGCTGGGGATGCTCGGAGGTGCGGGGGCCCTGGGAGTACCGATCCAGAGAACTGCCCACTTCCCTTGCAAATTATTTACTTACAACAACATATGCTGGTTTCTGAACGTTGCCCAAGAATCCTGCTTGCCCAGACTGTTTTGTGGATTCAGTGTAGCTCACCCAGATAGTTTGAGGATTGGCTATGATAATAAAGTAGCAGGTAGCCCGGGGGTATGAATTAAAAAGACAGCGGATTCAAAGCCCTTAATGGGCACTTAGGCAAACTGAAACTTGAACAAAAGGACTCAGAGATGCTGTCGAGGGAGGATGATCTCGCCGATTTAGGAAGAAGACACCTGGATTTTGCTTCACAGCGCATGCCCTGGAAAGACGTGAAGAAGACCACGTACTTCTCCCCTTCAATAATTATAATAATCACAAGTATTCCCCGAACTAATTGTAATAACCCGTCCTTTCCTAATGAGTATGTATACTTGGGTGTAATAAATATTTGGCTACTTGCCAGAGGCGGTGGGCAAGCTTTGTGGAGAAATCCCCTTTCACCCCAGCCGGAATAAACATACCTGCTTTATAACGACTCTCTCCGAGTTGTAGAGTTTGTTTCCGCGTGTCAGTAACAGGGGAGGCTGTGCATGAGGTATTGGGGTGCTGGGGATGCTAAGGGGTGCAGGGGGTGCCAGGGGAGGGGGTGCATGAGGTGTTGGGGTGCTGGGGATGCACTAGTGCTGGGGAGGGGCACTGGGTCCCCACTGGGGCTTGTTATCAAGGTGCCAGGGCTGTGGGGCAGCCCCATGCTGGGGGGACAGCAATGCCGGGGTGCTGGGGGTGCATCCCCACCCACAGGCAGCTGCTGGTCCTGCTGGGTGCTGAGGAAGGGCCACACTGGGACACAGCCCCAGCCTGCTGCCCCCCCCCTCCCTGGCAACCCTCCCTGCCCACACTCCCAGCCCTGGCATCGATTTTTGTCCCACAACGAGGGGGGCCCTGCTGTGGGTCAGGGGTTCCACTCCACCAGCACCACAGTGCCAGGTGCAGCACAGCCCTGGCACCCCAGTGCTGTGACCCCCTCATTCCCTGCCCTGGTGCTGAGCAGGACCCTGCCTGCTCCTGCAGATCTCCCTGCCCTGGCACAGGGCCTCCCCTGTGGTGACCGTCCCCTGCCGCAGCACCCACCACATCCCCCACCCCTCAGCTCAGCACCCAGTGTCCCCTGGCCTCCATTTCCCCTCCCCAGCAGACCCCCTCGGACCAGGGCATGGAGCTGGGACAGAACAGGGCAGAAAGGGCCATGTCCATCCCCAGACGGAGCTGAGGGAACAGTCCCGGGAGCCGCACAGCTGCCCAAGGAGGGACACTGTCATTTAGGGAAAATAAATAATCTTCTGCATATAGGTCAAACGTCTAAAAATGTTGCCCAGGAGACACTCGGAGCCTGTAACGAGAAGGAAATTAATGAGCCCAGTGGCCCTGGGGAGGTGAGGAATGCTGCACAGAAGGCAAAAAACCTGCCATGTTTGCCCAAAGGAGCAGGGAACCGAAATGTGCCGCATTTCACAGGTTTGACCAGGATGGAGCAGGCCGTGCTCTTCAGGGACCTCTGGTGACACGGCACCCAGAGCTGTGCTGCCAGCAGATGCACCGTCCTAACAACCTCTCAGCCCGTGCTGTCCCCTGTCCCGACAGTCCGGGCACTAACTAAACTAAGCCCTGAAATCATAAATCGAAGGTTGGTGGAAATAGAATTGAAGCTGCTGGGTCACTCGTGGCATGGGGACAGCAAGAGCTGTTCCCCGTGCCAGCCTCGGGGCTGGTGCTCTCAGGAGCTTTCGGTGCAGCTGGACTCCAGTCCCTGGGGGGGAGCAGCGGCCAGGCTCAGCCAACCCCCTCCCCGGGACAAACTCATCCCTCCTTTGCCCTGAGCAGCTCCCCGCTGCAGCCACTCCCACCTCTCCCAGCTGAGTGAAGGGCTGGAGGTACCAGGACCAGCAGCCTGCACCGGTGGTTGCACCATCCTCATTTGGGTGGTGACATGGACAGGTACCCCTTTTTGCTATACTCTGCACTCCTCACCCTCACCTGGTACAGCTCCACCACCACCAGCCTTTTGGGGAGCCCCAGCAGTGTGGCTGGGGGGGGTGGGTCTGGGGCCGGTGCAGAGCCCTGGGCCAAGGGGGTTCTCCCGGAGAGCTGTGGGTGGAAGATCCTGTTGCCCACGGCCCCACGCCAGCAGAGCCAGGAGCTGCAGTGCTCCTCCGGGCACCGGGACCACCGCAAAATCCCCCCCTGGGGGTGGCGAGAAGCCAGAGAGGAGCCTGACAGATGGGGAAGCTGTGAACACCCCCTCAGCACAGCGCAGAAGGTGCTGGGAGAAGGATTTTCCCGGCCCAAGGGAACTGTGAGTGACTCTCTGCAGGCTGCGGCCCACGGACCTGCTGGCACAGGCCACGGTGACACGGGGACACCAGCATGTCCCACAGCCCTGCAGGAGGCTGCCAGAGCCGGCACAGACATCTTGCTAATGCTCCCGGTATTCTCAGTCACCTTGCCAGGGTGGTGGAGGGAGGATTTGGCCCCCCTGTGTCACATCCCGCTGCCCCTTTGCCCTCAGTGGCAGGGGGTTGCCATGAGCATGGGGCTGCGCCTGGGGGAGCTGGAGCTGCACTGCCGCCAGAAACACGGAAAACACAGAAAAGGCTTTTTTTCCTTGATTTTTTCTGCCAAAGAGAAGGGAAATTTCGCAGACAGCTGCAACAACAGCCCTTTGAGATGCCAAATCTCAGCTGCTGTGTGAGAAATCCCCACCCTGGTGCACCCCCCCCCCAACAGCCGTGCCATGCCGTGCTGTGCTGTGCCATGCAGTGCCAGGGAGCACGGGCACCTGCTGACGCAGCAGGGCAGAACCGGCAAGCTTTGATGAGAGCGGGGCTGGCTACAGGCCAGGGGGAAGGTCGAGAGCCATGTCTGCAGGCCTGGCATTGAAATGTAAAATAAAGGAACAGGCGAGGGGGAGCACAGGGGTGAGGATGGCCCATGCCAGGCACGTGGCACGGTGTTGGCAAAGCCCAGTCACCCACAGTGCGCAGCCCCGTGGTGGCCCAGAGCCCCCCTCAATCACTGGAAGGTGAGGTGCTGCTTCTAACAGCCATGCTCACCACGTGGCTCCCCTCCCCTTCGCCAGGGGGGGTCTGCGGTCCATATGCTGCCCTACTTCACACCAGCCACCCACTGCTGCGCTCCCAGGGCGGGATGGGAGCTCCCCGAGGCCGACAGATGTATTGTGGCCTGGAATCAGGTTCCTGCAGCTGTGACTGGCACCACCAGGCCACCCGATGGTGAGTTGAGGATTTTTGAATTATTCTCAGCTTTTAGCAAGCAGGTCAGGTTGCTTCAACACCCTCGGGGTCCGAGAAACATAAAACCCAATAGCCGGAAGCATCGCATCAAGCAGAAAGAACCATATTGCAAACCTTCACACTCATGTGATATCATCGAGGAGGAGCAACGCCCCCCCCCGTCCTCGGTTTCACAGGCAGCCTCACGTCGCCCCATCTGCTTGCGACCCTCCGCACCAGAGCCGTCAGGGAGGGCGACGACGGGGAAGGAACAGGGGCAGGCGGATTGGGAGAAGCCAGTGCTCAGCACCGTGGCAGGAGCGTTTCCAGGCCAGCGCTGGGGGGGGGCCGCTGGGGATTTATGCTGGTTATTACACAGACGCTTCCCCTCCCAACGGTTTCTGTGCCACCTCCGAGCGTGACACACACCCCGGCCCCAGGTGGCTTTTTTTGGGATGCCCTAGTTGTGCTACCATCCCGCAACGTGCCGGGTGTACACGTGGTTCGGCCGCCAGTAACCAGGCCAAGAGCTGGTCAGACACAGAGGGGACGACAGGGTGGGAATGGGGAGCATGGGACTGTGAAGGGGGGGCTTGCTCAAGCAGGAACACTTATTTCTGCTTTATGACTCAAAAAATCATGAAAAGTCCAAAACTCGCTTTCTTCTTCCTTTGTCCTTGGGAATGAATACATGAGGCTGGAAGACATTTTCCCAATTATATTTCTGGAACCAGACCAGAGCTGGAAGGGCTGGGGGAGTTTAAGACACTGAAGAATGTCCATCATCCTCTTCTTAATACCCTTAAGGACACAGATTTCTGGGTCTCCACTTCCTTAGTGCTAAAAATTACAGTGATTACTTCACAGTGAACCAAGCACTGAAGGAAAAGGAGAAGCTGGACATGGCTGGCCCAAAGGCATAACCTGGTACACGTGAAGCGAGGCCTCTGCACAGCCATTTTGTAGAGCATTTGTCACTCAGAACGACCCACAGGCTCTTACGGGTGATGGGGTGGAGGTCTGGAAAGGACATTTCTTCCGATTTTTGAATACGTTGAAAAATCAGACTGAAAAAAATCAGAAAAAAGGGTTCAGATTGGTCAAATAATCCCAAAGGGAATCAAACACAGACAGTGATGTTACAGTGGGTTACAGGGTCCCCCAGTTCCACTGTCAGCTTTCCCCAGCAGTAGCCCCCCGTTTACCGGGGACACTGCACAACCCTCTGTCACTGGATCCAGGGGACTTGCCCTGGCACAGGGGAGGCTCCCCCCAACAAGCTGCCACCTTTCCCTAAGAACACCCAGTTCCCAAAGCAGCTGGTGCCCAGGGACACTGGAAGGACTTCCCAGTCTGCTGATCTGTGGGGAAAAAAACCCAACAAAAGTCTTTATGATCACCCCAAAATTTTTCATGACACATTGTCCCTCATTTGTATTATTTTGGCATTGCCAGGGTTAACCACAGAATCACAGGAAGGTTTGGGTTGGAAGGGACCTTAAAGATCATCCAGTCCCACTCCTCTGCCATGGGCAGGGACACCTTACACTAGCCCAGGTTGCCCAAAGCCCCGTCCAACCTGGCCTTGGACACTCCCAGGGAGGGGGCGGCCACAGCTGCTCTGGGCAACCTGTGCCAGTGTCTCACCACTCTCACAGGGAAGAATTTCTTCCTTATCTCTAATCTAAATCTCCCCTCTTTCAGTTTAAAACTGTTACCCCTCATCCTATGCCTATCCTCCCTGATCAGGAGTCCCTCCCCAGCTTTCCTGTAGCCCCTTTAAGTACTGAGAGGCTGCTATTAGGTCTCCCCAGAGCCTTCTCTTCTGCAGGCTGAACACCCCCAACTCTCCCAGCCTGTCCTCATAGGGGAGGTGCTCCAGCCCCCTGATCACCCTCATGGCCTCCTCTGGAGCAGACCCTTGCAAGATGTCCTCCTCCCAGCAGCCCCACCATAGCACACAGCCAGGAGAAGCCCCTCCGTCACCCTGACAGGGGACAACACTGTGGGACCAACTACAGCAGTACTGAAGACATACAGGATGGCAAAGCCTGCAGTACCCAGTCCCTCTGCTCGGGGCAAAGTCACATCTCACATAGGGATACGAGCCTCATGCTCACTTCACGTGGGGTACCAGCAAAGAAAAAGAGGAGGACAGAGTCACAGTCAGCAACAAAAATAGATTGATTGAATGAAAAATTCCTAAGTTGTTTCAAAATTCTTTGTTGGGTATTTTTGGCCAAAGATGACGCTTCCCTGCCTCCCACACAAGCGAGATCCCAATTAACCTTTGTGCAATTAGCTTTCCCCAGAAGACGAGATTCCGTTATGTGAAAACCAATTAGGGTATATCTTGGAGGGATGCCACAGAGCATTGCATCCACATACTCACTCGGACATGTCACCTCATCCTGCCCGGGATCATGCCAGAGATGCTGTGGGCTCACCGCAGCGCCCGCTCAGTGTAAGCACCCACCGTGAGGCAGAGCCATGAGCCGCTGTGGGGCTGGCAAAGGACATCTCGCGTGCGAGATCCCGATGGATCAGCCAAGCGCCGATGTCGCAAGGACACTGTGTCAGACAGAAGGGCTTGCACAAAAGCAGAAGGGCTTGCTCTGGAGGCTGCAAAGTCCAGAGGGGAAAAAAACCCCACACACTTAGAGAATTGGAAAGAAGTAGCTCTTGACTATTCATTCACACTTGGTGAGAACTTAAAAAGACAGAGGAGACAGTGACAAAACCCCTCGGTGACACAGATAAACTCACAGCTGGCAGAGGGTTATGAAGGTCCAGTCTCCACCTTGTTTGCATACACTGAGATCTTCCTTTGAAATTCTGGATGGAGTTTCCTCGGCTGTATGTGTTACTGTACTGACACAGGATGGATAAAGCTAAGGGAGGGCTCCACTGTACCCGAAGGCAGTGTGTGGGCAGCCCCTGCGAGAGCCGTGTTGGGCAGCATCCCCTGGGGCCGCAGAACGCCCTTTCACTCCCGAAGATAACCAGCTATGCTCAATTGATTAAATAATCTGGTCAGCACAGATGACATAAAGGGCTCTGTTAGTGATAAACGGCAGAAATGAGGCAGCCTGGGGCAAGCTCGCCCACCACCAGGTTTCACGGTTACAGCCTGTGGGACAGTCTGTCAGCGGGGAGGAGCTGTGGCACGAAGCCAGTGCACAGGACTGGGGTGAAGACACCCCAGGGAAGCTGCAAACAGGGACTGTAGTGGGCTGGAGGCAGCCTGGAGTGCGCAGGCTCTCTCCAGAACCTACTGAGATGCAACCAGGAGGCTCTGCAAGTCCTTTTATGTGGCCGAAGGGGAGAGAAGGGGCAGGTTTAGCAGTGTCTGCATCCAAGGGTTGGGCAGGACTGATCCTGCAGCAAAGAGCCTGTGCTGTGAAATGGAGGAGCCACGGATGTAAACTGACACGCTACAGCCTGGGGCAGCTGAAGGGGAACGCTGTGCTTGCAGGGAGAGGAAGGCTGGGCTTTTCAAAGTGCTTATCCCGTTTTCTGCAGCAGCAAGGGCGCTGCTCAGCTTAGATGATTTAGTAGCTGCCCTTCCCAATGCAGGCCTCTATGCCTTAAAAGGAAACATCTCTTTGGCGAAACACTGAATCTGGGCCCCAAAAAGAAGCATAAACTCATAAAAGGCCTGAGTAATGGAAGCTTTTCT